AAACCGCTATGATCAGTCCCGGCGGCCATCTTGAAAAGGATGACCTCCCGCTGACCTTTTGTGTCTCTCACCGCTCTAATCTCCAAGCAGATGTTAGGGTGACAGTCCAGTTTTTTATTACTCTGCAGGCAGAGGTTGGGGTTTGGGGTCTTTCAAGGCTTTTTTATCGGGGTTTGTTTTTTGCACTGGGTTTTTTTTTTCATCCCAACCCAGCCCTAAAAACCCAAACCTCTGCTTGGAGAGTATTTTTTTGTCAAATCAAGGAGTTTTTCATCTGTTTCAGGCGTATTTTTTTAGTATGACAATTAACCTCATTCTCATATTCATGCCGATTTTATTATCTTTCATGTTAATAATGATTTCTGCCAGCCACTTCTGACATGTCTGAAGCCTGGTCGAGGCTAGTCACACCTAAAGTGAAGTGACGTTTGACCCCTGCCCTCTGACCCGTCGGGTGGAAAATTCTGTCCGCCATTTTGTCTCTTTCTGCACGGAAGACGCTGTCAGAAATTTGCCGACTTTGCGAGTTTCCGGGGCTCATTTCCAAACAGTAAGTACATGGGCATGTTTATAAAACAGTCATAGACACTTCTAATGTATTTTCCGTGCGCTAAAGTAAACCGAATGTATAAATTTTTGCAAATTCTCAAAATGGGGAGGGGGGTGGCTGAGATTTCATTGATAACGCCCCTCATAAGCAAAGCTAAGATGCGCGTGTAGCAAGTTAGGACTGTTCGTACTAGTTATGCGGTCTTTCGTTTTTAAGTGTACAATTTTCTCGCTAATTTGGTTTGCATTTCTTGTTCTTTATTTCTTTTACTTGGAACAAAAAGTCCTGTTAGGTCTTGGTAATAAATTATGCAAAGTATCAACTTAAGTTATAGCAAGGACTATTCCTCAGTGTCCATTCAGGGTAAACATAAAGGTGTTGTTTTGGTTCCAACCTTGTAGTTCATGATTTTTTTTCTTGCTCACGAAGGAGGTCTGCTTTTGTACCTCCACAGCTGTAACTCATGATCTCCAAATTATGTAGTAGCATTCCTGTACATTATACTATTCATAGGGCCTATTAAAACAAAAATGTGTTTCCTGTCTAAGTCCTGAAAAAATTGGGATGGCGGTTGGTATTTAGGGATTATCTTCAGTAATATGAAATCTATATAGGGGTCCAACTTATAGTATACAGTTCAGTTTAGCAAAGTAAAAGTTGCATGCAATATATTTTCAATGTCATCAATATTTGAAAACCAATTGTACAACTTTTTTTGTCACTCAGGTGTCAGATCATGGAGCTAGAAAAGGTTGAACAGCTTGAAAAATTATGTCCCTTGCAGGGGTCAACCCCAAAAAAGTCTAGGGTTGGCAGGTTTTTCTAGGGTCGGTCGGGAAACAGAAAACACAACATTTTTTCATAGGCCTAGTTTGGCTTGTTTCCCTCTGCGAGATGATGCACACTATTTTTTTTTTATATCACAGGAGTTTTTATACTGTTCCAACTTTTTCTTATAGTTAGCATAATATAGATACAGGGCTCGAAATTCATTTTTGGGAATAGGTGCACTGGTGCACCCAACCTAAAAAATTGTGTGTACAAAAAAAATTTTGGGTGCACCATGCTTGGGTCTATAGTATGCACCTTTAGTATGGACTGAAATATAATGATTTTATTATTTTTCTGACACTTGGATGTTATTAACTTAAGACTAAGAGTATATTGTACACTACTGTACATTGAACATCTTTACATATGTACACCTATGAAAATATTTGAGTGCACTGGAAAAAAAATTGGGTGCACCGAGGAGCACATGCACCCAGTATTTCCAGCCCTGAGATACCATACTATCTTTTACAATTGTTTTGCAATGAACTTTGAAGTTTGTTTTTATGGACCTTGACTAACCATGGCTGTTTTTCCCCTTGCAGAAATGGCTGCACCGCACCGTGAGTCTCCCCCTCTGCAGCCCGACATGAGCCGTCCCGACCGGCCACCACACGTCTACCGTGCCGAGACCCCCCCTGCAGCTGGAGGGGGGCGGTGGGAGGGGGTGGACCCCAGCAGGGGGGAGGGCGGGAGATACCCCCACCAGGAGAGAGACTACATGTACCTGCCGGTGCCGCGCTTCCAGAGTTTGGTGGAGGCTACTCAGGAGAGGGCGGAGAGGGTCGGGTTACCGGAGAGAGGTGTCAGGTTTCGAGAGAGGCAGGGTGTCGAGTTTCAATCGGAGAGGAACGGCTCGTACGCGTACAGCAGGCGTGACGTGCCAGAAATGCCCCCGGGCGTTCGGGTCGGGAGATCGCCTTCTCGGAGCGCACAGGACAGGGCGGATGGTGGAAGCGAACTTGTTGAACGTTCGGAGAGAAGCGGTGGTCCGTATAATGCGTACAACAGGCTGGGCGGAACACGCGGGCCGCGTCCTGAGGTGGGGGGGTCGCCGACGCGCGTCAGCGGGAACGTGCAGCACGTGTTTGTGAGCCAGCTGGAGCGGGGTTACGGAGCGCACGGCAGGGCAGACGGGCCGGGCTCACCACCGGCACTGCGCACAGACGAACCAGCACAGAGCAGCGACCCTCCAGAAGGCACTGAAGACAGCATGGACACAGCAGACCGGCCTGACAGGGTGGGGAGTGACAATGAGGAAGACCACCACCCAAGGGGAATGGGAAGTAACAGTGAGCCAGACCACCCCAGGGCGGTAGGGAGTGATGATGAAGAGGTAGACCATCACCCCAGGGGAGTGGGGAGTGACCACGAGGGTGGGGAAGACATGGCAGTGGGAGAGAGCGGGAGTGAGTCCCCTGCTAAGTCAGGAGAGCAACCAAATGCAACAGCAGAAGAAGAAGAGCCGCACACAGAAACTCCCGCCAGCCCCGAAGAGAAAACTCCAGCAGAAGACCATCCAGAAGAGGAGGAGGAAAAACAAGCTACAGAGGAGAAAAAGCAGGAAGCTGCAGAAAAAGCAGACGAAGAAGAGGCCACAACATCCAGCAGACCCAGCAAGAGGAAGCGTAAACACGTCCACTACGTGTGCAAAGACTGCGGACACAAGACCTCGCGCAAGTCTGTCCACGAGGCTCACCTGGGCATCCACACAGGTGAGGAACCGCAGCATTGGCGCGTAGACGAGGCGGCGGGGGTAAAGCCGTACACACGCGGGGATCGCGAGATGGTCGTAACGCTCTACCGCTGTGAGAAGTGCGACTTCTCCACGACAAAACGGCGCGGGCTCGACCGTCACATGGCCAAACACGCGGGCGGGAAGACCTACACGTGCGGCGAGTGCGAGTTTACGACCACCGCGAAGTACCACCTCCGCAAACACGTCAGTTTCACGCACCGCGACCTCCCCTACTCCTGCACCAAGTGCGAATTCACCACGACATTCAAGAAACACCTGCACAAGCACATGGCTAAGCACAGTGGCGAGAAGCCACACGTGTGCGTCGAGTGCGGGTACCAGACATCCGAGAAGCATCGCTTGAATCGGCACTTCGCAGCGAACCACGCGGGGAAGCCATTCAAGTGTGACCAGTGCGACTACACGGCAGCCCTGAAGGACTACCTCGACCGGCACATGGCGAAACACACTGGAGAGAAACCCTACATGTGCCACCAGTGCGGATTCCGCACCGCCCAAAAGTACAACCTCGGACGCCACATGTCTGTCCACGTTGTAGACAAAACCTACAAATGCCCCCACTGCAAGTACTCCACCATGTACAAGAGCATCCTGGAGCGTCACGTCATCCAACACACTGGAGAAAAACCCTTCGCCTGCACCGAGTGTAGCTTCCGCGCCACACAGAAAGCGATTCTCGCGCGCCACATGAGGGTCCACACTGGGGAGAAGCCCTACAAGTGCACCCATTGCGACTACTCCGCAGCACAGAAGACCAACTTAGACAGCCACCTGGCGAAACACACCGGGGACAAGCCCTTTATGTGTGAGGACTGCGGCTACAGGACGGTGTACCGGTCCTACCTCGCTAAGCACAGGAAGATCCACACTGGGGACAAACCCTACAAGTGCCAGCAGTGCCGCTTCTCCGCAGCCACTCAGCAGGGCCTCGACAAGCACATGGCCAAACATGCCGGTGAGAGACCACTGGTCTCCATGGTAACTGCTGGCCAACCACAGCCTGGTGGACAGCTACAAGCTCCGCAGACAGTAGAGCAGCATGTTGAACAGCAGAACACAGCACAGTTACAGAACACAGTAGAACTGCAGACTGCACTAGAGACAGCACCGCTACACACAGCACAAATTCAGACAGGACAGCAACATACAGCACAAATACAGACAGCAGAACTGCACACAGCACAGCAACATACAGTAGAGCAGGCACAGCTCTAGGACAGCTCTTGGTGCACCCGTAACTATTCAGGGCTTGGAATACTTTAAACATAATCATTGAAAATCACCTTAACCAGAAAAAATTTCACCTGCACCACTCAGACATTAAGAAGTGTGGATCATACCAAGGAGCTTTAAATTTGATTTTTAACCACCTTGATCATACTAAAAAACTGTTGAGAAACCATTGCCTTTATTTCTCTTATACTTTATAGCAAGTAACAGTCAATGCAGCAAACAAAAATCCACTGTACACATAAACCTGCATGTATATATATAAACCAAGTACACATAAACCAGTATTTCAAGCCCTGCACTTGTAGGTGTACATGTGACAAGACTGGTTTAAGCTAAAGAGAAAAGGTCCATTCTGTGAGCAGCCTTGTATTCTATGGGAACAAATACTAGTAGTGGAATGGAGACAATATGAGTAAAGAGAAGAGACACTGCCAAATAAGAAATCAAAGTATCGGACATGCCTACATATACCTGTATTAGGACTGGTGTTGAGGAAGTGTGTAATCTGTGAGCATGTTTCTACAACGAAGGCATGGGAGTCAGGGAATTCTAAAAACAAAGAGATCAAATATCTTCATAGGAGTTCTAGTACGAAATGTGAATTCATTAGCAGGTATGTTCTTGTCATCAGAGTTTTGTTTTCCTTCCTTTTTTTATAATAATAACTGCAGAAGTAACAAAAGAAATCATGTAAACTGTGAAGATATGAATGCCAACTTGAAGGCGTTTGTGTGCATAACTACAGCTACAGCTAGTACTGTACCTGTACCAGACTTTGTCTGCTTGTAGTTACTATTAAATATGTGTAGAAAATGTATCAAACTTGGCACAGGGAACAAAGCAAATTCAACAGAGAGATGGAAAACCAGTGCATGTACATAAAGCTATTGAAAACCTGTGAATCTGGATAGAGCCTTGCCTTCCTACTCTATTTGGAGAGCTGAGTTAGTCAACAGCAGACGATAGCTTTATCCAAAACTTGTGCTGTAGAGCCATGCCTGTAATAAGTGTTATACAGACGGTATAGCTCTATACTAACATGTAGAACCCTACTGCATACATGTACATGTACCTGATGTATTATAAGTCAAGTGTTAAACATCGGGAAATCTACAGATTAAATATGAAATATACTGTTCACCATAGAGTAGGCATAGACTAGCCTGTGCACATACATGTACTATGATGTGTATTACAGCATAGCATTTATTTCCCACATGTACTACTGTTAGAGAATATATTATATAGACCTTTCTTTGTAACTTGTAGTTGTACACTGCCTGAAATGTGAGGGTATTTAGTTGTTTAGCATACGTACTACATAGAACTAGATTAACTACTTAACCCAATAGGCAGGCAATTGAATAGTTCAGCGGTACGCGGTAGGTTGCAAGAATTCTCGAGCCTTCAGTATTTTTTTATGTTAAACTTAAACTTAGGTTAATATATGTATGTGCAGATAACATCATTGATATCTTCCAATATTCTGTCACTTTTCCTGTACTAGTAGTTCAGTACCATCAGTTCACGATGACAATATATTATTGTTGTTAGACTCACCATGTGTTGTATTATTGAACGTGTGTGTTTTTTTGTGTGTGTGTGAGAGTGTGTGTGTGAGTGAGTGTGTGTGTGTGTGTGTGTTCATGTATGTGTTTGTGTGTGTTCATGCATGTATGGGCACATGTATGTGTCTGTGTTCATGTGTGTGTGTGTGTGTGTGAGTGCATGTTTGTCACAGTAATGTGTGTGTGTGTGTGTTATAGTTTATGTATGGAGAGCATAAATTGAGAAGTTGCAGAAAAGTGTTTAGTGGCAGATCACTTTCACCTGTGTCAAATTAATCTTTACTACAGATATAAAAGCCAGTGCCAAAATACAAAAGTTTAGTGACAAATTTAAATAATCCGTAAACGTGTGGACCGTTCCGAAGCCTGTTCGAGGCTATCAGGAAAGCAAGCCGTGCGGAAACAGTACTAGGCCTGGTTCTGGTGCTCGGGAGGGCTTTTCGGGGAAACGGGGCACAATTTGTCTATCCGCCCTGGAGTGGGGGGAAAGATGTCCCTTACACGCTTTTCTTTGGTCGATCAAAAAAGAATTAAAAAGATATAAGGGCAAGTAAAATTACATTTTTCAGAACAAATACAATAAATAGCATATTAGATAAGGTATTGGCTCGCTTTTGCGGGTAATTTTGGCTAAAGTTGGCTATTTTATGTGATAAAATGTCGAAGTTGAGGGTTAATATTGTTACCATCATTCCTCCCACTAAGCTTGCCGTGTCAAAGGTCACAGTATTCTGACTTCCGCATTTTGGGTGTGTGTGCCGTTTTAAATCGTTACTCTGACTCACACTCGGTAAGGTCGCGGTTTGCCGAACCTTTAGCGGCACACAGGGGCATTTTTCCCGGCAGAGGTCAAACTAACGGACCCTGAGCACCACCGACATGTTGTTTCGTGCGCTGGTGTGAGATTCTGAGCGTCTTTTCAAGCCGTCTTGTCAAAAAAAATTAAACTCGCGACGGTCCCGAACTGTGCTTCCGAGTAGTGAACATTTCCGGTGCTGGACTCGGATTTCCTTTGTTGTGGTTCGTCACTCTCAGGTGAGTTTACCTGGACAAGGTGTAAAACTGCACGTGAGAATCATGTTTTAGTCGCTAAGATATCGTTTTGACCCAAAGAACCCCCCCTCCCCCAAGACAGTTCTTGTGTAATAACGTTATGCATGGTTGAATGTTGGGTGTTCCTACTAGTACTAGAACGACTTGAAATGCAGCCAGAATTTGAGATTATGATTTTGGTTATAAACGCAGTATAGTTTCCTTGTGTGCACTCCAAGACTGTAAAAAAACTTCACTAAAATGATGGTTGAGTGTTAGGTGTTCCTACTACATATACAGTAGTACTATAAGAACGACTTGAAGTGCAGTGCAAGTGCAAACTGATTTTGAGATGATAAATTCGTTATAAACGAAGTGTAGAAGTCCAAGACTGTACAAACTTCAGTAGAACGATATCAGAATTACCTACTACAGTTTGCTAGCATGTTCTAACTGGTAACACGTTTTTATAGTAATATGTAGTATCAATGATTTATATTATAATACTAGTATATCAATGATCAATGTGAATCAGAAGACTGTGAAGTTAAACTTTAGAGAAGGAAGAGACACAGACAACATGCCTCATAGTATCAAGGATAGTCTATGCTACTCAGTACTACACTAATTATAGTCTTCCTGTACTTGGTAATTAAATTGGGCATTTTCCCCAGGCAGAAGGTCTATCCCTTTAACATAGTGTTAAATGTTACATTAGTCATGTTAGCTGTTTTCTATGCTATATGTCTGACAGTCATAATTCCATGAGATCATAGATGTAATATCTAGCTTTTGGTTTACACTGGTATCAGGTTTTGATCCTTGGTGACTAACACTTGCACAGGCTTGAAAGAATTATCTTACTGAACTTATACTATACGTGACTGATGAATCTCTTCAACGTTGCACAGGCTTGTTTCACTTGTAGAAAATGTTCTTAGATGTACATATTGCTAAGCCTCTGCATCTGTGTGCTTTTGTTGGTATGGGAGGAAAAATTATAGCATTCTAATTAGCCGAAATTAATGAGGCCACCATGGCAGCGAGGTTTGATAGGGTCGACTGTGACTTCCGATATGTGCGGTTGGAAGCTTCTGTGTACTTCTGTTAGTGGGAAAAATTCTAGCATTTTAATTAGCCAAAATTAACAAGGCTTCGTCACCATGGCAGCAAGGTTTGATAGTCTCCTGTGACGTCAGATGTGTACAGCTGACAGTGAAGCCGTGTGTGAGTGACTCTGTGTGAGTGAAACGCTGAATTGTGTTTAGTTAATGTGCTGACATAATTACACCACAACTCACAATGGGAGTGTGTGGGAGCAACGGCCAAGGACGGAATATTAGTAGACTTATGTAAATATGATTGTTTCATGACATTTTTTTGTTAGTTTCTCCCCTTTATTCAGCAAATGACAGAATATCTGTAATATTTGGGGGTTGTGTGGTGTCATGGATCAGAGTGACTCACAGCCTAGGAAGCAAGTCTCAGGTTCTGGGTTCAAAGCCCTGATAAATTTGTGACATGCCCCGATGTTGTGTCCTTGGGAAATACAATTAACATGAATTTCCTCACCTCACTCAGGTGAAAATGAGCATTCACATGTTATAAAAAAATAAGCTCTGGTTAGCTAGGGATGTCCCTTGGATAGGATGTAATTTGTAAAGCTGGAGGTCCTGTGTTAAATCTCTTAAGGCGGGCCTGCAAGCCCTTTTCCGTAGAGCGTAATCGGCCGTTTTAATTCTACGTAGAGCGTAGACGGACCGCTCTACTATTTTTGCGTAGAGCGTATTCGGCATTTTAATTCTACGTAATGCGTTGTAGTCACTTGGAATTTATCGTAAAGCGTAATCGAGAGGTTTCCGAATTCAGCGTAGAGCATTGTCAGGACCCCCCCCCCCTTGCAGGCCCTCCTTAAGGATAGCCACACCTCAAGCATGTTAACAATAAAAGAACCTAGTGTCAAAACTATCAAAGATGAAACACACCCTTAGTAAACATGTGGACATTATAACATGTCAGAAACTTTCTAATTCTGAGGTCTGCTGAAATATTCAAGTACTCATATACTAGTAACTATTCATAATCTAGTACAGTAAATTTACATGTACATTGTACTGCACATTCTTTTAGTCACTGCGACAATATTAGAAACAATACAGCTGACAAAATTTTTCAGACTGTGAGTACTAATGAGTGTTGGCACATGGCTGGCAGCTTCCTTCCGTCAGACACTAATCATACAATGACGGGAATGGCCCTGTTATAATATATGTGTATAAATTATGTGAACAGGTCTGACATTGTGTGCTTAGGCCACACCAATTTAATTTGTTGGTTCTCGGATTTTTTCAGAAAAAATATGAAGCGACAGGGCGAAAAAAAAATAAAAATAACAAGACTGGCAATGAAAACATACATTGCCATGGCGACGGTGGTTGCTGTTAGGGTTATTGTTTGCATGGCACTGCCATCATTTCATGATTTTTTTCTAGACAGATACAGTACACTCCTCCCCTGAGTGCATAGTGAACGAGCCCCGGGGTCACAGAAAGTATGACCATCTGGGGCAGGCAGGTCTTCAGGGTTCCAGGAATGCGGGCATAGATGTGGGTCAGAGAAATGCCCGTGGACATTCCGCATGCCTGTGGACATTCCGCTTGCCTGTGGACAAAAATGCCTGTACAATTCCTAGAATTCTTATTTTATCTATTTAGAAATAGTAGCAATGTCGCCTGTATGTAGAGCAGAATTAGGTAGATGCTTGGTCCAAATGGGCACAGCCTCACACTCCCTTCAAATGGATGCTCTCCTCTTACAGCAAAGCCTTCCAACAAATACCCGTAGACTAACTTTACTGCAACGTGTTAAACTTAAAGACATACCGGTATTAGATCACAATGGATACTCCTCTTTGTGGCATTCCGAATCAACATTGTGACCCTGAACATGTTGGGGGAAATGCTGAGAAAGACTCTGACTTACAGATATACAGTCACATGTCTTCTTCAGTTTACAAGTCTTTACAAGAGAGAAGTCAAACCCTTCAGACATAGTTTTAGACATAACTATAATTTTAGACAAATACCTTTCATTTGTAGATTTTAGTTATTTTATATACTGCTCTTCTTTTATGCTTGTAACTGGCAATTAGCCTCCGGGGCCGGGGCATGAACAGGAATATGAATCAGCATGTGTCTGCTCAGTTGTGAATGATCTGTTCAATTTCCACAATGTCGCAAGGGTTTCCTGGAATTTCACTTCGTAGGAAAGTGGTCCAGAATGTAGGACATACACTTGAAAGGCATGTGGGGAATCCTGGAATGTGGACCAGAATGTCAGAATGTAGGACATTTGAAAGGCATGTGGAGAATCCTGGAATGTGGACCAGAATGTCAGAATGTAGGACATACACTTGAAAGGCATGTGGGAAAGGAATGTGGGTATGATTGTAGGTATGTGAGGAAAGCAGACTGATTGTCGGCTGAAAAGAGAGATCACTTTGGCTTGGTTTGAGGCAGTCATCACAGGGAGGTACAGATTTGCGGCCTGAGTTCAGAGATTATAAGCCTGGTAACCAGTCTCAGCGGGTCAGCTTAGAGGTGTTTTCCGATCCCATCAGGGAAACACAGCGGTCTGTTTCACCACTACAAGGGCTAGTTTTCAGTTCTGTGTGGTTGTCCAAATGGGGACCTTCCACGTGCTTCTTACGGCCTGGCAATCCTTAGAAGGTAATACAACATCCAATGTATTTATGAATAAAAAGAGCCCTATAGGACACCTGTGTCGATCGTAAAAAGTAAAAATCTTCCTCTGTTGTTGGAACTGTGATAGATTTGTGTGATTTTAATTTTAGGTGAAACGTAAGTCTGTTATAAAGGACTATTAAATGTACAGGAAATAATCTGCAATTGAGAATGATTACCCGGGGAATAATTGTCCTATAACAAAATTGATCTAGTCGAAGGATTTGGTTATGCTTACCTAACGTTAACAATCTATCAAGTTGAACGTCAATATCTGATGTCCACAAGAAATATTATATTAAACTACATATGAGACCTCACCTATCGAAAATGTACACAACCAATTCTGTAAAAATGTTCTTGGTGTATTTAGAAATAGTAAGCAATGTCGCCTGTAGAGCAGAATTATGTAGACTTCCTTTAGATACAGATATTTGTATATAGATATACTAGTAGTTAAATTCTGGTAATGCTTGGTCCAAATGGACACAACCTCACACTCCCTTCAAACGGATGCTCTCTCTTACAGCAAAGCCTACAAATACCCGTAGACAAACTTTATTGCAACGTGTTAAAGACATACCGGTATTAGGCCCGATTTAGACTAGAAACGGTATACCGTTTCGAAACGGTACGAAACGTTTCGCCACAGAAAACGGTTCGTCTTTAGACACAGGGGCGGAAGTGTTTCGGGCCGCCCGTGGCGCAGGATGTTTCTGACCCACAGTGACCTATGATGACCTCCCCGAGCCACTTCTACGGTTTGCCTCATTGGCCTTACGATACTTGTGTTTCAGGGCCTTGAACTTCGTCCGAAGCTGCTTTGGGGTGCATAAATACCCCTCAGCCGCCAGCCCGTCCACAAGCATCTGTACGCCCTCCCTATTACGCGAGGTCTCCAAGCGGGATTGTATAGTTTGATCGGCCCACAAGATGATCAAGCAGCGGGTCTCATCTTGGGTCCAGACCCTCCCCTGGCCTTCTGCCATCCTCCCTGACGTAAAGGATAACAAAAATTCGAGAAATACACGATATAAAATGGCGAAAATGGACACAATCAAATGTGGCGCGAATGTACCAGATAATGGACGTGCGCGGGCTTATTAGCATGTGATTAGCATATGACATGTGACCTGGTTTACCGTTTCAAGAAACCCTTTGTCTTTAGACCTAGCAAAAAGCGTTTCGGGCCCCCCGCTGAAGGGTTCTGAAACGGTCGAAAACCACGATGGAGGTGGTTTTCGGAAACGGTCCGCGAAAACCCATAACATACCGTTTTTTCCTCTTTAGACCGGGAACGGTTAACCATTCCGAAACGTTTCCCTGGCCAAAACCCCTTAAGCGTTTCTAGTCTAAATCGGGCCTTAGATCATAATGGATACTCCTCTTTGTGGCATTCTGATAACTCACATTGTGACCCTGAACATGTTGGGGAAATGCTGAGAAGGAGACTTACAGATATAACGTTACACGTGTCTTCTACAGTTATACAAGAGAAGTCAAACCCTTCAGACATAGTTTTAGACTTAGACGTAGCTATAATTTTAGACAACTACCTTTCATTATGTGGATTTTAGTTATTTTATATACTGTTCTTCAATGTTCTTTTATGTTTGTAACTGGCAATTAACCTCTGGGCATGAATTTGCAATAAACTTCTCAATTATTATAGAGAGAAAGATATAGTACCTGTTCAAATGCAGCAGAGTTGAAGACTGTCGATGATACGTAGGGGAAGATGTTCTACACTAATTCAGAAAACTCACTTACTGCTTACATCATTAACATCATGGGAGCTATAGCTATATGAGCTAGATAATGTTGCATGGGAGTGGACAGGGATGTAAATCAGCATGTGTTTGCTCAGTTGTGAATCTGTACAATTTCCACAATGTCCCAAGGGTTTCTTGGAAATTCACTACATAGGAATGTGGGCATAGATGTGTGTCAGCAAAATCCCAGACATGCCTGTAGACATTCCATTCCTGTGGAAACAAGTGCTTCTGCAAAAGCTGACCATTTTCGCCGCTTACAGGCTTACAGTTTTTACGAACATTTTCCCCATCCTAGCATTTCAATTTACCTAAGTTATATAAATGGTTCTAGTTCTCATCAACATTGTATATAATGAGAGAACATGCACTTCTATATTTCAACTCTTTAAGTTTAAAACATTACAAAAATCAAGTATATAACAGTTTATAACCTGTTTTCTCTCTTTTAAGAGTCTTTTTAACAGAATAAAAAAATGAGACACAAAAGTACATTTTAACTTAAATTATAAGTAACGTTAATATATATATATATATATATAA